ACAACACAACTATCTACAGCAAAAGCCTCTGTTCTTGCTGCCCCAAAGGCACTAAATACCCAGATTTTTTATTTCACTTTTCACATCAGACATACAAGCATGTACAGACCAACGCAAACACTCTACTTTCTCCCTAGTAAGTCGCCCAAAGCAAACATTGGTCTTTCACATTAAAACATGTACACACAAAGCTGGCGAGATGAATTTTTGGTTCCCATCAGCTGCAGGTCATTACAAATGAAATCAACATTTTACATAACATAATATTTCTGCAACACACAGAGTGAGGACTGTCCTTTTTTTCACTGCATCCCTAACTCCTGAGGAAATGCACAGCTTCAGTTGCAGGGGGAGAGAAATATACCTACAGCAGAAAGCTAACAGGTTTTAAATAATAAATAAAAATAAAATAAAAAATAAAGTCCTTAGTAAAACCTTCTTTTGAAATTGAAACTTAAGAAACAAACAGCTGAGGACAGCTCCTCCCGGCACCTTTGTTTAAGCACCTATCTTCCAATACTAAACGTTTTCTACGCTTCTAGCATTGCAGATACTAAATTTAAAGAATACATGTTAAAACTCCTTAAAAAAAAAAAATGGTTCCCCACATTGCACAGCCAACAGAAGCATCAAGAAATACTATGGGAAACAAAGCGTTTTCCAGCAAAACTATAGCAAATGGAAAATTACCATTTCATTTGTGACTGGAAGTCTTCTACGCAGAAGACAGGTCACGACTTCCACTATGGCATCGTGTAATTTAGGAAACCTCAATAATTCCTAAAACAAAGCAAAAATTTAGTGATGAGATTTCCAGAAGTTTTGAGGAAAGTAAACTAAGTGAAATTACCAAGCAGAATCTGAAAAGCAGCAGCCAAATTTCTTTAGTTCAATTTTCAGTAAGTTTAAATTTATTTAAAAAATGAAGTAATACTTAAAAATGCCTGTAGCAGTCTTAAGCTTTTTTTTGTTTGTTTTTTTTACCTGTGTACTGTAATTGCTACAATGCTGGATAATCCTCTGCATTTCTTCATGAACCAGCTCCACACAGCGCAAACTTGGCTCTTCTAAACGTTTGATTTGCCTTTTTACCAGCAATTCAAATGAAACTTCGGGAACAAACAAGGCAGGACGGGGACCCTAGTTCAAAAGGAGGGAAAAGACTCCTGATATAGTATGAATTAAAATAATACATGTTTATAAGAAGCAGTAGCTGTCTGTTGTATGGAGTGAAAATATCTGAATGTGTTCTAGCCCACCCATCTCAGACTGAATATTCATAACTGGCAGAAGTTTTTAATGCAAAAATAAGTGCATAAACAGTCCTTCACCACCCTTACGCTAATATACAATAGTGACAGAACAGAATTGTCAGAGCTGGGCCTGAGCTTCCTTTCAGCCTCTAAGTACTAGTAATTCGATATAAGTGTTCACCTTAAAATTATTCTATATCTGATAATGGCTGTAAATTTGGAATTTACTTTCCCCCCCACACACACTTAAAACACTGAAAAGCAGTTTTCAACCTATTTGGCATTTGCTCAGCTGAAGTCATTAATCCAGAACATAACAGCCCTGAAGCAGCACGAGGCTGTTGAAGCCTCATTTCGTACCCAGGCTATAGGAAAGACCCTTAGACCAAGCGAGCGAGACTCACAGTGGCATTTCTAATGGCAGTCAAGATATCAATAGTGTTAAGGCCACCTAGTGGATCTACAGATTCCAAGGTTCGTCCAAAGGTCTCATGAAAGATGTAACAGATTCGAGCTCCACCACATCTGAAAGAATAAAACAGCAGCTGAACAGCAAACAAGTAACAAGGCCTCGCTGCAAACACTTCTACAGTCACCTGGATTCAAACATTTTTTAGGAGAGCAGGATTTGCAGAACATCTTATTCTCTGCTGTAGCACTACTGCCAGTACAGGCCATCAAGGGCTATTGGGTCACAGACTAACCAGACAGTCAATATTCCAGAAAACCATTTGGTACTTACAGCTCCGAAGTCTCAATGTATTTTGCCGTTCCCTCAATAGTGTTACAATATTCAGTTGCAAATTTGGTAATCAGCTGTAATAGAGTGGCACTTTTGTCCTCAACGGGTTCCCCATAGCTATTTAGTAGAGACTGATACTGAGCAGCTAAAACGTTTATTCTAGTTTTCAGTTCTGGCAAACAGTCTCGGATATGATGCATCAGTAGTCTAGAATTAGAGAGAAAATAGTCCTTTGTGAAAAGGGAGGAAAACTTTCAGTTTTATCATCTCCATTAAACAGAAAAGAAACAAGATAATCACAAAAGGAAAATGTTTCCTGAGAAAAATTCAGAAATTGAATTTTGAACTAAAAAGTACTTTCCCCATGTTTCACTAAAGAGCATCAAAAGAAAACGGGAAGGTAAAAAACACATGCTTACGCATGTTTTTAACACTCCAGTTTATGTCTGAAGCATCTTCAGAAGCATGCATTTGTTGTGTTTTACATAGTACATAATACCTATTCAGTGTCCGAGCAAGATACTTGGTTCCATTGCGATTGGCTAGGGAAGGATACTTCTTCTGGAGAAAACCGTACTCATCCCGGATGGAATCAGCTACACTCTTCTTATTGTTTATGTCCAACTGACTCCTGAATTAAAAATAAAAAAAGCAAAAAACAAAACAACATCAACAAAAAAAACCAGAGTCATATGCTAGTTAACAGACACGGAATAAAAGTAATCTGCATTTTTGTTCTTCCTAGCAGGACACAAAGAACTGGGTTTTGCTTTACATGCATAACTCATCTCCACTAGGCACTACCATTGGTTGTTGTTCCAGCCAACAGAGCAGAACGGGTAGCAGCAATCCACAGACTAAGTTAACACTTCTGTCAAAGAGACTACATGAGATCTGACCTACCTGATGCAAGAAGCAAAGTAAACAGTACTAAGGTGTTAAGCAGCTAGTGCTAAATTAGCACTCACGTGCAAGATCCCTACTGGATCAGCACTATTGCGAACAGTTGACAAAAATAAAAAAAGTGTGGGGGGCAGGGGAACAGAAAGATGAAATGACACTACAGTTTTTACTTCAGTTGTCGCTATTCCTTTCTTAATTAGCAGTTAGATGCCTGGAAGAACAGTCAAGTTGGCATAGGTGAGCAGCAAGTTTCTTGCTTGCTTACTTTAGCTTATTTCAATATCAAACCATCTTAATCTTAAATCCCAATTCATGGTTAGAAGAGCTTAAAACATTAATTCGTATTAATACACATCTTAAAAATAGGATTACTGTGCCCAGACAAACCTGTTAACTACTCCAATGATGCCAAGCTTTACTGGAATCACTCTTCCCATGAGCACATCCATAGCATCAGTGCCAGCATCCATGAGATCCAGCTTTGTGATAACAGCAAGGGTTCTTCGACCTGTTAGAAGAGAAGGAAAACTCACATATGGTGGATGTTTCAGCCTGATAGGCTAAAGTTTATCCTTTAAAAAGTTCCTGGTGCACCAAGTGCAACAAGGTAAACCAGCAAAAGGAGTGCAAGAACGTGGGATTCCTCTAAATTGAGTCATTTATTAACAAAAGTGTGAGATATGTGGCAAGTACTGTCCACTCCACACATCTACTACACAGCTAATGGTTTAGTTACCATTCAGTTCAAAATTATAGTCACTGCTTATTGCAACGGCTACTCTGCCACATTATGAGGTTACAGGAGTGGCATTGAGTAAGGCCGGCAGGGGACCTGTGAGCAGAGAGAATGTAAGCAGGACTAGGTGTAACAGCAACACATTTGGAAGTGCATCTGAAACACCATTAGTATAAGAGAAACTGCCAGAGGAGTCAACTGAACGCTTTCTAGAATCATGCATCAAACACACAGCTGAAAAAATACCAAGAACTTGAATAGCTTCAAAGTCATCCACTACAAAAGCAGTAAGACATTGATTTTTTCCTGAGTACACAACGCTTTACAAACGAAAATAAAAAGTCTGTTATCAGATGCTGTGAAGGAAAGTGACTCAAAAAAAAAAAAAAAAAACCTAAATATTGGGTATCTAAACAGGTAGATTAAAATGCACGAGATTTGCTTGGGACCTTAATATTGCCCAGGCTTTCAGGTCAGAAAAAAATGGCAAAAATGTTTTCTTAAAAATGCCTTTCATGTCTAAAATAAACTGATACCTCAAGGAAGTCAGTAGGCAATTGAGTTGTCTCCTGAAACTTCCCAATTACGTTTACAAAATCTGTAACATGAGCTATGACTCCAGACCTTTGGGAACTGTGGGAAACGATCCAGATGTCACAGCTGATCATTTTACAAGAGTAAAAAGGGGAGGGCCGGCTGCCTTGAAACAAAGCAATCTTACCGAGGAGCCTGCCAGGAGAAGAGATTCGCTGTCTCTCGAGGTTGCGTGGCTGTGGAGCCCCTAAAGGCTTAGCCAGAGGCTAAAAGTTTGAAAATGGGCAAAAAATGTTGCTCCCATGATTTGAGGGCATAGCATACTAACACCATACTTCAGCCTAATTTCCGTACAGTTATGTTCAGAGTCTACATATCCGCATTCTTTCAAACCATACAGTGCTATTTATCTCTACCATTTACTAATAACACTTTTCACAGGCAAGAAGCAGATATGCAGTAGCTTAGGATCTGTTCAAAATCATTAGGTAAATAGAAATACCCAAATATAACTGCTGTGTTTTCTAGGAAAGGCAGTGACATTTTGGTGTCGTCTCTCCTGTCCTTCCCCACTACTTTTTTCCCCAGAAAAAAATAGTTTTAAGATTTACTTTAAGAAAGAAAAACTCAACAACTTGAATTACAGGGCCAAGTTTTATTTTCCGCTTACCATCTGGATCCACCTCCCGTGCAATTTTAAGTGCTTCTGAAGTGGCCATATCTGTGTTAGCAGCCGTTACTGCCAGAATAATTGAATTTGGGTTGCTGATGAATTGAAGGATTAGTTCTCTGATTTGAAGTTCAATGTCCTTAGGCTGGTCACCAACAGGCACCTAGGGAAAAAAAAAATCCATGCAGAACTGTTCAAAATGATACATTTCTCCCACGTGAGACCACTCATTGAAGGTTTACGCATTAGACCAGAGTGCAAGACACAGGTTTCCAACTCTTCTGTTCCCACTTGCAAGTAACCACGAAGGAATTCAGGAAGATCTTGAAAGGTATCAAAGTCAAAAATATTCTTGCAAAGTGAGAATCAAGTCAAATTATTTTGATACTGCCATTAAAAAGACTTAACGTCTAAGAACCACCTGTGCAACTGGTGGAATGGGGTATAGATGTGCACATGCGTAAGTGCTGGCAGAAGAGCGTAATCTCCATCGTGCCACAGAATATTATTCAGTATAAAGCCTGAACATTTATTTTACTGTATTGGCAATTTGTACAATCTCCTATACATAGCAACTTCCATTAGAAGAAGCAATGGGAAGAGCATTTTAAAACTTGTCAGTGATTTATCCATTTGCAGATACTGCTATGAAACCTCTTCAATTAAAAAAAAAAAAAAAAAGCAAGTTTTCTCAGTGGTTCTTAACCCTCAGCTATGTACAGAAAAAGGGGAAAACAAAGTAAATTAACTTTCTTAAGAATGAATCACATCAGAGATCTAAATCTTATAAAAGAATATGGCAATAAATCAGATTTATAAAACCAGTTACTTAACCTGAGGAACAAATTATCGCTTCTTTTCTTAAAGCTTCTTCAGCTAACAATACAGGACAATGCCGAACAGTGAACAAACACTCCCTTTTTTCAAAGCACCTTGCATCAAATCAGAAGAGATCCATGCCAAATCTTACCTTTGTCATTCCTGGTAAATCCACAAGTGTCAGATTTACAACGTTGGATGAAAAAATCTTAAGGTGAATAGGTTCAGGACTGATCCCCTAATAATAATAATTAATAATTAACAATAAAATTAAAAATAAAAATAATTAAGAATTACAGTTATGGATTAATTAACTGCACACTTTAGAAAGCCAAGAATCTTAACTTTTATACTAAAAAAGTTCTTTCATCATATGACCTTAGCACTTGCTTCATAAGAAACAAAACCTACCATATCTATCAAATAATTCCCTGATCTTTAGAAGCAACCCTGCTTTCCTCTCAATAAAATGCACAGAAGTTTCTTACATTTCAGCAAACATGTGCAACAGTAAAACGTTTGATTTTATAATTTACAAAAAAAGTCATGTACATGGAAAATATGAAATTTTAACTCGGTTTATTTCTTGCAGAATTATTCTAGACATTTTGGCATACAGCAACACCAAATCTCTGCATTTTCTTCACTTAAGATATAGCATTATCTCAAGTGATAAAAGTGAAGTGAAAAAATCTCAATATAGGGAAACGGAGCAGCTCCATTTTATCCTTTAATAGAATTTTCAATGCTTTTCATTTCAAGCTGCCAAAACTGTTGAAGAAAGTTCTAAGGAACAAGATAATTTACAACATGGTCAGGTTAGACAGCTCAACATTTACCTTATTATTTCCTGAAATCCTCTCTGTTTCATTTTCTATTTCCTGACGAATTTCATCAAAATCTGTATAGACCTAAAGGGGAGGGGGAAAAAAAAAGTGAGAAATTAACTGCATATATAAAAGGTGGAAAGAAAATAAGAATGACTAATGACACTGAAGCAAATATTAAAGGGAAACAAACTGAAGAAAGGTAAATCTTCCTATTTAATTCGCTGTCATGTGGGAGGGCAGTTACTAGTGCTTATTATCACCTCCACGTAAGTCAATGTAGAAAGCATTCACCTTAAGAGAATTTCAAATCCTTTATTCAATTTTTAATCAAGCTGTTATGCTTCAAGTTAATGTAGATAATGTAGTCTGGACCCTTCTTGATGAAGAAGGGGACAATGAACTCAGACAATATCCTCTTTAAAATTTCTTCCATTCTTGTCTAGGCGGTTCTTCCACCAAGCCAAAATAAGTCAGCACAGAGAACCCTTTGCATGTTCCCTCTACCTCCCTTCTTTAGATCTCCTTGAATTTCTAGCACTGTGTGGAAGAGATCTGGAATTAAGCATATGATAAAGTGGTTACGACACTGCTACTCCACCACAAGAGTAAACATACCTTATTTTTGGTGTGAAGAAATTTACCCCACTCTTCCGCGTCAATCTCTGAAAACAAAGGTTTGATATATGAAGAAGAGGAAATGGATGTTTCACTTGACACCTCATGTGACACTTTTCCAAGAGCTTGTTTGTTGAAAACTACAGGGTGTTTTTTTCAAGCAGCAAGAGAAAAATTAGTGTCTTTACTGCTAAATGTTAAGTAGTTCAGTACAAATATTTATTTGTCATTCACACTTATCATTAAACATGTATATAATTACTCATTTTAATTTGTTTTCTTTTACACAACACCCATCAACCGAATAGTGAATTGCACCAATGAGCTATTCTACCATTTTTCAGAAACTGTCTAGTTCATTTAAATATTGTATTACAGCAGAAAATAAAAGAATTACTAGCAATAGCTTAAGAAAATGCAAAAATAATCAGCTTTTAGCATCTTTTCTTTTTCCATGCAAGCAAGATCAAATTGCAGCTGAAAGAAAAAGTTAGAAAAACCTGTAAAAATCAGAAACAAGCAAACAGAAAATACATAAGTATTCTACTCAGCAGTGAAATCTTAGGAAAACATGTCTCTTCCCAAATCTGTCAAGAACCAAATATCTTAACTGTTGTCAGTCAGTCCACTGATGTCTGGGAAATATTTGGGGCTACTCAAGCAGATCCAGAAACAGCAAAGGACCTTGGTCAATTCCTGCTTCATAGAGCAGATGGCAGCTTCAGTCAGGCTGCAAGGTATTCACCCTTCCACAACTAGGTTTCCAACTACTTAATGAGTTTCAAATTTTTATTCTGTGATCATTTCTCCTCCACTGCCTGATACAGCAATCCACTCCACAAACGGTCTACAGAAATCTAGCTATTTGACAACCACACTGTTTTCCTAAAATTAAATCATCGTTCAAAATTTTTTTCCATCATCACTGAAATTCCTAAAGATACTTATCAACACAGATTTTTAAAGGATTTGGGAATTACAACTGCTGAAGGTTACATGAAGCAGCAACGACACATAAGAAAAGCAAAATCATCTCATTCTAATGTAACAAAGTCAAAAAAAAATCAACATGGTCACAAGATTCAGGAAAATAATCAATCAACACAGTAGCCAATGTGTAAACTAAAAGTATAACCAACAATAAAGTGGTATGAAATGTATGTGGTTAGTGAATATAAGCATGCACTTTATGTGTAGGGAGAAAAAGCAAGTGGATAAAGGCAACCTTTAGAAAGGTGTCTTGGATTTTTCCATGTAGCAGGGTCTGCAGTTAAAGAGAAACAGCATTGAATGATGTTTAAAATTTGTCATATTTCACAGAGCATATTCTTTACCCTTCAGTCCTAGCCTGTATTACGAAGATCACAAATGCATGCAGACAGATGCGCAAGCTATTCTACTATTAATGAGAATGTGTAACATACTAACAATATACACAGAAATAAGATTAACTAAATGCTGTTAAACGATGATCCATATTAACCAGATATTCTGTAGTACCAATTTTGCTTGATGATGACTTTATTACTGCTGTTCACCTCACTACATCAGTTTACAATCTTTTTACCTGAGCACAGAAAATAGCACCATACAGTTCTGCAAAACTGAACTTCCTTGGAAAAATGTGTTTCTCATACTTTATTTATGGCAAGAACAAGACTTTAAACCAAATGCATTTTTAATATCACTAAAGGTAATATTAATGCATTGCAAAGAAACCCAAGATTCTGCATCAATATTTCTAACATTGAAAAATAAATTTGCACAAATGAAAAAAGCACAATAATTGAGACAGATTTAAGAAGAGACAACATCAAGTAATATCATTCTCACCTTTTGATTTTCTCAATAAAATGTATGCAAATCCCATTATAAAAAATAAAAATATTTTATTAACAGTCCACAGCTTTAGAACTCCATATTCTGCCAGTAAGAATCCAAAAAAATGTGTAGAGGTTTTTTTTTTTTTTTTTAACTGCACTTACCTATTCAGCATAAAATGGAAGCAGCACAGCAAGAATCAGTTCATCAGTTTGAAAAGTTTGAAAATAGATAGGAACAGTTAATTTGAGTATCTTGCTCGTGTGGATACGGATTGGAAAGACATGTCCTTATTGTTCTTTGAGAATGAACAGAAAACTACAAGCACATCAGCTATAAAGAAGCTATTATCAGGAGGCAGGTGTGGCTTTTCATTTGGTAAAGAGACAAGATTACATACTAGTCACAGAAAAAAAAAGTGCAAAAAAAACCATTAATGCCGGAATATAAACAAATCTAGTTTATTTACAATACAAAGGGGGAAGAGGAAAAAAAAGCAAGATCCAATATGAAGCAGATTCATCATGAAGAAATTACAGTATCTGCATAGTTCTTTTACCCATTGCCTCTTTTCAGAAATGGAGATGGGGCAGGAAACAGGCATAAAGCCAAGAGGAAAACAACAGAGCAAAACACTTTGAGTGTTACGTTTAAAACATGTCCACCAAACGCTCTTCTACCTAGAAAGGTGATGCCCTCTTCAGACACACTGCTTTAAGTCTTAAATAACTGCTTTTGTGCAGCACTGGAATCTACAGCGAGGTGCTAGGCTTAGACCTAAGTCTAAAACTTTCAAATTATCTTATTTCAGGACTATTTTTATGAATATACTTTTCCCTCCTTCTCCTGAGGAAGTCAATGCTGACACCCATTCAACATACAGAGCTATTGGAAGTTAATGCTAACTTAAATGCAAAGAAGTTTTTAAGAAAGGAAGAAGGATTTGCATCATTATTCAGAACACATAGATGCTCAAGGCAAGGAGAAAATAAAGCTATGACTAATATACACCTTCAACAACCCAGTAAGTTCTGGTTTACACCCAGAATACTTTTATGTTACTAAATTCAATAATTAAAAAAAAAAAAAAAAAGTTTTTCCCAGTTGCATTACTCCCTGGATGCATCTCTTCTCCATCCTTAAGCATTAGGATAGAATATGGGAGCATGAAACAAAGCTGTCCAGTCATAAAAGGTGACCAACATGGAATATTTTTTAGTGCAAGGCAACAAAAAAATTCCCAAGTTAAAAGGTCAAAATATCTTACCTTTCTACTTCTCATAACTTCACAGCCTTGCGCTCAGCAAACTACCATTTCACCTCAGTTTTTCATTACTTTGTCCCTTCCTAGCTCCCTTTAAATAAAAAGAAATCCCACTGATGAAAACAAATGCCCAATTTGTCCAATTCCTTCCTTACGTTGTTTTTCCATTCTTGATCCTAACTAGACAACAAACTCCTTGTGTGAAAATTCTTCTCTTGTGCCTGTACATAGTTCGGCACAAGGAGGGAGCCCTGACAGTTCAGGAGCTAGAGGTAACAGACCAATATGTGCAGTATTTAGTGGTATTTGCAGCAAACAAAACAGGTGTATTAATCATTCCTGCCTTCCATACCAATTTTATCTGTTTAGGATCTAAACAATGTTCAGCTTCCTATCTCAGTTTAAAAAGAACCTATAAACATTTACAAGGTGGCAATTCATATGTTCCCTCTTCTTTTCCATGTCCTAACAAACGGCTAAATTATTGTCGCAGCTCCAAGACCAATCTAAATTAATGAGACCAGGCACAGCTCACAAATTGTGCTTCTCCTGCAGTTTGATAGGAGGTCACCACAGCATGGTATTCCCACATCAACCAGACCAGGTGCCAAATTGCCAGAGGCCAGCAATAAACAGCAAATGAAAAATGAGAACATTTTCTTCACTCCAAAGCACACACATCTCTGGAGAATATGCGTATTAGTTTGGAATAATGGCTTTATGAAAAAGCACAGCACTTCTTCATATTAAATGGAAAACTCATCTCTATCCTCACCCTCTCTTCTTTCTTTTTCTCTCTTCCTCTCTCCTGTTTTCGGATTATTTTGATCTATCTCAGGGGCCACTATATGAAGGGAGTACATAGGGTACGGCTCATCAGTTACTGGGGGGAGTAGAGAGCAAGATCTTTAATGTTGCCTGGTAGGAAATCAGAAGTTAGTTCAAATGTCTGGCTGCAAATCTCATACAAGGTTGCTTCCCAATGGGCTCCCAAGAAAAGTGGAAAAAAAAAATTGAACTCATCTTCCCTGGCAGATCACATGGATATGCATCTGATGACCAAGTGAAGAGAGAAGCTATTGGAAAGATTTCTCCTCTATCCAGTCCTAAAGACAAGGCAATTTTCTATGTTTAAATAAATACCACAGCAATCTGACTTGCTTTATGTTATAAACAGTAAAGCCTTCTGGATGCAAACACTCATGTTGAACTAGAGCTTATAAATACATAGAATACTACTTTTGAGTGGATATATTCATCTTTGATTCTAGTACACATCTACAGTAAACATTCGCATGGATAAAGGTAATAAAGTTTTGCGTAGCAAAATTATAAATCAAGGATATATTTTTATGAACTCTAGTACACATCTACAGTAAACATTCGGATGGATAAAGGTAATAAAGTAGCAAAATTATAAATCAAGGATATACTTATATTCATAAAAGTATCTGGCACACAAGGAATTCACTACCAGCACATATATATATATGGGTGCACAAAATGATGTACTTTCATTTTTGATTCACTTTGCATAGATAAAGCTTTCACCTGGAGAACACCTTTATGCAAGATCATGCATAGCTACTTTCCATTTGCAAAATGCCAAACACCCCATCCTGCCTCAGCATCCAACTCCTAACAAACAAAAATGTGAGCTGTAACAACCTGACACCCTATTCCAGGCAGCAAAGGCAGGGTGAGCAGTTCTCCCCTCTTCTCTTTCCAAGTTGTTTGATCTCACGTTCTCACTGAAGCAACACAATCTGTACACATGATTATATGCTAAACCAACTCAGTAAAAAACCTTTAGACTGTGATTTTTCTTATTTAAGAAGAAGAATTTCCAACACAGTTGATAAAAACAACAGAAGTTTGTCTGTTTTAACTAAGCAAGTCCACCCACCTTTTACAGCAACATGAAAGAGATTATAACGTGTAGACTTTATTAGACCTAAATGGGCCTTGAAAACACTAAGTTAGCCCAACATCCTTATGCAATCGGTACCATTATTCAGAGTTAAAAAAAAAAAAATGAATTTACAGACCAAATGCAACCAGTGACAGCTTTCGTCTTTTGACTCCATACTCTATTTTCAAAATCACAGAATGGCTGAGGTTTGAAGGGACCTCTAGAGATCACCTAGTCCAACCTCCCTGCTCAAGCAGGGACACCTATATCTGTAAGGTTGCAGATTAAAACAAAAGCGTATCTTATCCTACAATGCAGAATCAATGTATTTCATAGAGCACAAAATTATACACAGTGTAGCACATATAACATTAAAGTACATTAAGAAAAAACATGAAGTGTATTATTTGTTACAGGTTGTCCAGAGAAGCTGTGTATTCTCTATCCTTCGCTAGGATAGGAGGATAGGATCCTTCTCTAGGCTAGGATGGAGAGATACCCTTTCTCTATCCAGACTCAACTGGATAAAGCTCTGGCCAATCTTGTCTGAACTCAAAGCTGACTCTGCTTTGAGGAGGAGGTTCAACTAGAGACCACATGAGGTCCTTTCCAATCCAAACTATCTATTCTATGATCTCTCACAACACAGCACAGCCTGGATGGCAGACTCTGCACTGTATACTACAAACTCCTTAATTGTTATGAACTGGAATTTTGTTTTTTTTTCTTGCAGCATTAATGATATTTGGAGCTTTAGTCTTTCAAACTGCACAATCCCAATAACTATTCTTAAGTAACCAAAGGATACAAATATTACATGAAATACTGTAAGGAATGTCCAGAACCTTATTATTTCTAGAAATAAATTCTGAACCTTTTAAATACAACATGAATAACTATGGTCATATGTTTATCATGCCATGAAAAGCATGTGCACTTTTACTGTCTAAATCAAAAAGCCAAGAAAATTTATCCAAAGAGGTGGATATGCCTCTGTTGCTCTTCCATAAGATCAAGACCATTAGATAAAGTGTTCAGATTCCCAAAGGGCAAGTGAGGTAACTCCGATCTGCCAAGGGATAATACAGAACCATTACAGAAGGGGAAAGTTTCAAACTAGAGAGCTTCTGGATATCTGAACTGTCGTGTTTTATGTGTTTAGGATCTCTCAGTGTGGGGGAAGAAGGTGGTATAAGCCACAAAACACATTTGACGTTTCCTGCACCTACAGAAGGATTCTTTGTTTGATCTTATTTTTTCTCTCCCTGCACTTGTCCAGAGCTTATCTGTTTCTTAACCTCCTTCTACCTAGTCACGTTCTCATCCTCTCAAGGAAAGGTTTTATTTAATCTCAAGTAGGTGGGAAGGAAAACACAAGAAAACTGTTCTCAACATCCTAAATTGCCATTACCAGAAGTGAAATATTTCTTTGGCCTGCTTTTCTCAAAAATGTTTACCAAGAATGAACAGGAAAGTTTAAGATATTAAAGATACTTTAAATAATCAAAAGTTTTGGACTTCATGACATCTGCTATACGGATAAAACAGCTGTGACAGTGGCTTTTTTTTTTCTCCCTTAAAAACAAGTTAGATGAGATAGCATACTTGCATTTTAGGATTACAATAATGTTTTAACTCATTTTAAATGCAAAAGAAAGATTAAAAGCATCTTTTCTACTAAGCAAAACACACCAAGTCTTGGATCATACTTACCATTTTCATCTCCAGCTGTTTTCCGTCCATCCTCTGGGGAAACATGCACCAGCTGCAGAATAAGGGGTCTCCGGGTGACAACTCCAGTACCTCGTGGGAGCAGATCCCTTCCCACAAGACTTTCCAACACAGAACTCTTTCCACTGCTCTGAAAATTGGAATACAGCTTCGTGACTTTCTTAAACATCATAATGCTGCAGTTTTTTAGTTTCAGTTCTTTTTCATTATTCCTATAACCAATGCTCTAGCCCATTTTCTGCTATACATTTTCCTAAGAGGCATTTAGCCTAGACTGACTGCATCTAACGTACAGATATCACACCACATAACCACTAGAATATAGAATACAATTCTGCTACAACTCAGTAACTGTCCAAACGTCGATATTTAAATGGCATAGACACAGATGTGTTTTCCAGTACTTAAGGCTAAAATAAACAAGTAGAAATGTAATGTTCAGAGGCAATTTTTTTCTTCTGTCATTTTCCATCATTTTGCAATAGCGACTCACTGTGTACACTCTGCAATTTAATTATTAGTAGTAACATGGGATCATGATGTGGTCACATATAGAGAGATCCTGAACATGCATATTTGGGTATATGCAAAGGAGTTTTCTTAGATTCTTTCTAGTTCGCTCTTTTTTTTTGTATAAAATATTACATCACCTTCATAGGTGAGCAGGAAAAATGCTGCCTCAAATTCACTTATGCACAACCTTGTCTTATAGAGTATAAGAATATATATGTAACTGAACTGACTGCAAACATCTGTCTCCATGATAACAAACTGTTAGAAGGTGTGAAACACTAACATTGTGAAACGCAAAATTCTCCTCTAGAGCCTGTATTTGCAATGTCTGACTATAGCTCTTTGATATAAACAGCAGAGTTCTCCTTAAATGGTCAGTCCAATAAGCTGTGAACATGTGGGGAATAAAAGTGGTTCAAGACAATGACTATGTTAAAAGCTAAAAATAACAGGCCACCTGCATAAACACAATGCTTTGAAAGTCTGACTGAGAGGGTTTTACTTTTTCGCAGAGCTGTACTAAACTCTCAGCTTTCTGACGCTGGAAGTAATGTGGGTTTGACATGAGAAAGCCTCCTCTGGCAGTCATAGTCTGTTAGTATGGATGCTACCTATCACCAACCAATTCAATCAAGGAAACGAATCACGTTCCTGACTGCTGGAATGTGTATTACTGTGGTACAACCTCAATTCAGCACCTTAACTCTTCTAAAAGTACAGATCAGAGATGTTGTATAAACCACAGAACAAATACATAACCCAGCATAACACAAAATATGAAGTATTCAAGACTTAAATTGCCACTAAGTGGGTAATTAACGTGGATTCCCTGATAGTGAAAAATAGATTAGTAAATACCAAGCAACACAGCGCAGACAGTCCTACAGCAGTAGCTGAAATGGACAGGACAGGCACATAGTACATAAGAACATCAAAAATTGTTAAAATGGAACCTGCATGCACAAACACGAAATAAATGTTCACACACGCACACACACACACACACAAGACCTTGATCAGATGAAAGCCTTCTTTTCTTCTAACACTTTACTATGTTTCGTGGCAAAAAAGAAATGCTATTTATCTAGTGTCATTTGTCTCAATATGAACAGCAAAGCATGACAGAATTTTGTAAAATACACAAAAAGCCAAATTCAAAAAGATAAACTGTACAGAAAGATTGGGGAGAAGAAGAGGAATAGAAGAAATAAAAAGTAAGATTTTTCCTACAAAAGGCTCTCCTAAAAGCCTAATTAATAGTGGTTTTTTGTTTGTTTGTTTTTTTCCTGCAACAGATCTTTAATCTTGGGTTCCACGCAAGCAACTTTGAACAGGACACAGAGCACTGAAAGCTTATCCAGAAACAACTGAAGAATCATTTGGCCAAAACACAAACAAAGCTTTGGAAGCCTCAGGGGTAGGTCACTTTTGAAGTGTAAATATCAGAGAAGGTGAAAATAAATGAATAACAAACAGACCACTTTTGACACACTTCACAGTGTAGAAGTGGAATGCCTGCCCATAAAAACATGATAACCATTCATCAGTTACATTGAACAAACAGGGTTTCCGTTACTAAAATTTTGAACATCTCTGAGTAGGATTGCTTATAAAATGGTAAAATGATCATTCAGTCTAAAAGGGTTGGGGACAAAGCTGGGATGAAGTGGCTCCTCTTGAACATGACCCAAGTAGAATACAAGAGAAGGCAATAAATAGATCAAGTCCTTACCAAGAACCTCATCAAGACTGGAAACCAAAAACAAAACAAAACAACAAAAATGCTTAAGTTATTGTTCATTACAGCTCATTGTTCCATCTCTCTAATATAGTGCAGGAAGCCAAGATTGGCACATACCAAAATGTGAGTCCAAAGCACTATGTCCCACATGGCTCCCCACAGTCCAGTTACTTTCAGATGTAAAAGGAATGATCTGAATCCTTTGCAGTGGTTTAAGTAAAGGACAATTGTAAAAATCAACCCTCATTCATTAGATTACATTAGACATTACAATACTCTCCACATCAGAAAAGTCATTTCAAATTTCATTATATTTCCTTATAAAAGCAATTTGTTCTTGGAACACAAGACAATATCTTAATGATGCACTCCCTAGTCTGGGCAACATACACATCCCTAACCAAGAATAATCTGGGATCATGACATGAAAAGCAGTAAACACAAAGCTGATCTCTTCCAGCCAGTGGGGAAAACGGTGTATATTTATTTGGGGCTTACTCAGAACATAAGTCAAGTCAGTGAGTCCTGCATACAACAAGTGTAGGCAGGGACTATCACCAAAGACTACACGTACTACAGAATTCTTAAGAACAAGCTCACGGCAGCATCATGCTTGTTTTGTCATGATGACAGAGCTACTGTGACAGATTTAAAGCAAGGAATGAAATGCATAGGCTCATTCTGAGACAAATCCAGACAAGCAACAATAAATTCTGATCTTCTGCAGCACGTCAGGTAGATTTTCCTCTGGACCTTGACCTGACTTAGACTTGAAATATCAGTAAGTTGTGCTGACTATAGAATTTTATACAGGTTGCTCAGACATAAGAGCAAATATACTGTTCTTTCTGTTGCTTCTTTAGCTCATGTTTCAAACTTCCATTGCTCTGCACTCTATTAACCATAATAAGTCTCTCAGATGAACACACAAGTTTGATGGCTAGCAAAGCAATTTCTTCCAGGAGTGCTACAGTAAGAGGAGAAGAAGCACACAGGGATTAGGAAATGCATTACTTCAATACATATCAACAGCAACAACAGTATATATATGATGTAAATCTTAACAGCTTTTTTGCTGCCTGCTAAACAGTTACATTTTATTCACTGTTGTCATCTTCTTCAGATAAATCTAGAACAATCAAGGATGAAGGACAGAAAACTGGAAAATAATTGAGCGATTAGTTTCCACTCCAAAAAGCTGCTCCTGCCCGTTACATTAATTCTTACAGGAAAATTTGCTTCATGACCTGCAGCCAAACTTTCCAGGGATTCAGCAGCAGCAGATAGTAAGATATGGGCTTTGGGACTGTTTGGTTTCGTTAAAAACAGAAGGCATTTTTAAAGCACTTTGGGGTTGTTCACAACCAAACAGAAGAAAACTCAATATTGAAAATTCTGAAGTAACACTATATATATAGCATATATAGGGTATATATAGTACACACAACTATTCACATTCAACCCAATCAGTGTTCTTTTTTAGTCTCCAAGCCCAAAATACCTCACCAGCATTCCTGGTTTCAGAAAGCCCATACCATATACAAAGTAGATTGCAAAGATGCCTCTCCATTCTTGTTCTCAGGTCCAAGCAATCCCAACCGCATCCTCTTCCACTACCGATTACTCTGCTCCTCCAAGTCCTGCTGCTTACAGGCACCAAGGCCAAGGGGACCCTCTTGGGGACCAAGGCAAAGAAAGTGTTGACTGACTCAGACTTTACCATACCCACTATCCCTGAACCACTGATGATTAAACAGCAGGTTCCCATTTCCCTTGTTTCTTTTCTTTCTCCTTTTACTGCTAATGCAGTAGAAGCTCCTCTTGCTGCCTTTTGATGTCCTTTGCCAGTTTCAACTCCACTTCCATTTCCTGCATATTTATATGGACACTTTAGTGCTTGGAGGAGGTTGTCATTACAGACAGGGTATCTGCCCTGCCTCTCAAAGGATCCCATCACCCAGTTCAATGAACAAGCTGGAGCCTGCCCTCACTAAGCTCATGCAACAAGAAGGTTCAGTTACACAAAGGCTCAGTTAAAGACTCACTGATGCAAATAAAGCCATGAGATTTTTACAGTCATTCCTTCAGATTGTTGCAATTTTTATATTTCATATGTTATTAAAATAATAGATTTTTACTGGCTGCAACAAACCTCAAGTTATTTTACAAAATTCTCTTGCCATTTCTCAAATTTACCTTTTAGCTTCTGTAATTATTCTACGGAAACAGCATAAAATAGGGAAAAATCCATTATAAGGAAATATGTCAAATAAACTAGTGGGTAGCTTCCAACACAAGTTGAAACGGGTGCTGTCTTCACTCCTTGCTTTTTATAGGACCAACTGATTAATTTTTCATGAACTGCTCAAAGCAGGAAATCAGCAAAGCGCTGGAACATAGTACAGTTTGGTTGCAGCACGGCACAAGACAAGATGAAGGCAGCAATGTCAAGGTTCCTGATAGTTTTTTTCCAGTGGCACAGTGATTGTGAACATTTGAGAATGACAGTTAGCAGCTGTGAGGTAGGAGAGAGTTCACACCAAGGGGTAATCATTCCTGAAGAATTCTCTTACGGAAAGCAAGGCTTCTGCTTTAAGAACTGAGAAGCAATTGCAGCCATTCCACGTATCCTGTCACACAAGAAATCAGAAAGGAAGGTCTTGCTAAGTACATCATTTACCCATCAAGACAAATGTATATGACTTACTAAAATCCAGTTCTATTATTGGGAAGCATAACCTAATGCATCTTTGCTGAGGCCTCATTTGTAGGGATATTGCCCATATAGGTACTTTGAAAAGAAGCTTTCGGCATGTAGCAACTACCCAAGAGCAAGATAGCTCAGGTCAACACAGCTGTATCTCCACAGCAGCGACAACAAAACAGCTTTACCTGGAATAGCTACTGTGGGAGAACTT